TTTTTATTGATTTCAAAGAAGGGAGAGGGATAGAGAGTTAGAAACATCAATGAGAGAGAAACATTGATCAGCTGCCTCCTGCACACCCCCCACTGGGGATGAGCCCGCAACCAAGGCACACGCCCCTGACCGGAATCAAACCCGGGACCCTTCAGTCCACAGGCCGACGCTCTATCCACTGAACCAAACCGGCTAGGGCAAAAATATATATTTTTTAAAAAGCTTCATGAAGCCTCCGTGCCTTTGCTTTGCGACCTGACCACAAAGTCTTGGCAAAAGAGCCCAAAGCCTATATACCAAGCCTTAGGCCCTGAACAAGCTAAGCAGACAAAACCAGCTTGAATGCTGCATTCCCTCACTCACTACCAGTGGAAGCAACTTCTTCCAAACAGAAAGCAGAGAAATATAGCGGAAGTCATAAGGATACTCATGGCCTTTGCCCCTGCAATTTCATCCCCAACTTTGTATCGTCAAGAAACAATTCGAGTATTCAGTGCAGAGTCCACCACAGTGCCACCTCTCCCCGCCCCCCCCCCCAAAAAAAACAAGAATATGATCTTGCCCAGCCGGCCTGGCTCAGTGGTTGAGCTTCAACCCATGAACCAGGAGGTCTGGTTCAATTCCTGATCAGGGCACATGTCCGGGTTGTGGGCTCGATCCCCAATAGGGGGCGTGCAGGAGGCAGCCGATCAATGATTCTCTCTTATCAGTGATGTTTCTATCTCTATCTTCTCCCTTCCTCTCTCTGAAATTAATAAAGACATATTTTAAAAAAAAAAAGGATATGATCTCCATGTCCAACATTCAAAGAATGATTTGGAAAATCCAAGAATCTTCCAACCATATAAAAGCCATTTAAAATGATCTTAGAGACCAAGAAAAGCAAAGCATGTGATAAAATAAATAAGACAGCCCTAACTGGTTTGGTTCAGTGGATAGAGCATTGGCCTGCGAACTGAAGGGTCCTGGGTTCGATTCTGGTCAAGGGCACATGCCCAGGTTGCTGGCTTGATTTCCAGTAGGGGGTGTGCAGGAGGCAGCCGATTGGTGCTTCTCTCTCATCATTGATATCTCTCTCTCTCTCTCTCTCTCCCTCCATTCCTCTCTGAAATCAATAAAAATATTTTAAAATAAATAAATAAGACAATACAAAACATTATAAGTAATTTTGTAAAGGATGTACCTGTGTAGATGCAAAAAGAAATGTAGTTGTGTTAAGGTAGTAAGATGATGGCTGGTTTTATTAAGTATTATTACCATGTCCAAATTGTCTCTGTGGTGTTGTTTAGTGCCTTTTCAATTAAAGATAAAGAGAGACAGAGAAAGACAGACAGACTCCACCACGCAGCACTAAGGAAAGGCCCGGAGGACCAGGGCTGGGATGTGAAGCAGGAATGGAGAGCGTCCTACATACCCGGAAGGAGGAGGCCAGGCAGGCCCTGGGGGAAGGGAAGCCCTCTAGGTATGGAGAGGGTTGTAATTAGTCTGATGCTAATTACAGAAGTCTCACTAGCTTATTAATTTTTTGACAGACTCTGAATGAAGACTGAATCCCTTTATCAAGCCAGCTTGAGTTCAGAGGCACATTTCCTGTGTGGCCATCCTCATTCTTCTAAAAATCCAAGCCTTTTTTTTTTTTAAGGGCAGCAGTAAAGTAAAATTTAGTAACAGAAACACACACCCTGGAGAAATTAAGACTCATGTCTCAAATGTAGAAATTCAAGACATTTCAGGGAACTACAGGGGCTTGAGTGAGTAAATGAACTGCAATGCTTTCTACACTGGGAAATATAGACAGAAGTGCAGAAATACTTAGCTCAGAATGAAAGGCCCCCTGGTCAGGTTCCACCCCATCTTCCTGATATTATCTCACATTCAGCCCACAGACACCCCATTGCTCCAGGGGTCCCCCAAACACTTACTTCACCTTCCTACTCCGTGACGGTTCAAGCCGGTGTGCCCACCTGAAAGTCCTCCTCTCCTAGCTGCTTGCTCACATCTGACCATCCTCACGGCAGGGATCAGAGGCACGTCCTCCTCGAAGCCTGACCCAACCCTTGCACCCTGATGCCATTTCTCACTCTGGAAGTGGACCCAGAGTCCCTGGAACCTCTCCAAAGGAGTTACACACAGTCTGCCTTGCAGTGGCGTTAGCTGTACAACTGCCTTTTCTACCACATTAAACCACAAGCAACCTGAGGCAAGGACCCTTCCAGATTTCTGCGTGGAAGCTGCCATAATGTCTGGAATATGCGCACACAGTAGGCCCTCAGTAAACATTTCGCTGAAAGACAAGGAAAAGAGATGCACCGCATCTTTGCAGAGTCACTCCTACCTCAGTTGCTCCAGTTAAGCAGTGCAGAGACGAAGGCGTACTCTCCCATGGTCTCGAGCAGGGGAGGGGCGAACCCTGCTTTTCTGGTCTCCAGCCTTCCTCAGACTCCAACTTCCTCCCTAGTTGACCATAGTCTGCTCGGCCCCAGGTAAACACCTTGCCAGTTTCTAAAAACAAACATTATTTGCGTTAAAGCTACATTCCACAGCTCTCATGGGTAGGCACTGAATTAGAAGAGAAAGCGTGAACATTTGTTTGAGTACCAACTACTATGTACCAGGAGCTTTCCTATCTACCAGTAAAGAAAGCACGGGTATTCACTTTTCTTTTTAATATTTTTAATTAGTTTTTAGAAAGAGAGAAAGGAAGAGGGAGAGAGAGAAAAAAAAAAAAAACATCCATCAGCAGCTTCTTGCACATCCCTCACCTGACTGGGAATCAAACTGGCAACCCTTTGGTGCATGGGATGATGCCCAACCTATGAACCACATCAGCCAGGGAATGGGTGTTCACATTTTTCAGGTGTGGGAAACTGAAGTTCGACGAGGTGAAATACTAGTAACTTGCTCAAGATCCAATCAGTGGTGAGCACCAGAGCTGGATTCCAACAGGCTGATTCTAAAACCCACCCTCCTGCATCTTAACAGACATGGACATGACTACAGAGGACACCCACCCTTGCTTCATGGCCTACCTACCCTCTCCTCTCCCCACAGCCTCCCTGCACGTTGCCCAGATGTCTGTTCTCAGGCTCTCCTCTCTCTCTCACCCAATCCAGGGTCCCATCGGCCACCCTGAAGTTCCCAGGCTCCTGACTTGTCCTGTGTTACAATCTCTTAGGTCTTACTCTGAGCTCAATTAATGGCCAGTTTTGTGTGGTTTCCCTTCCATGTAACAGAAGAGGGCCTTTTGGAGTCTAAGCTCTTACTCAAAGGAGCAATCCTAAGTCCCTAGGCAAGTGTCTATGTGTGCTAGGGAAGGGAGTAGAGAAGGAAAAAAAACACACAAAATCATTTAGAGCCAGAAAAGCATTCAGTTCCCCAGATGCACCACCTGGGAAGCTGGCCAGTGCTGAAGATGATTGAAGAAAATGAAGTTTGGAAAAAGAGAAATGGCCTCTCTTCTCCAAGATAAGAGAAAATTCACCAAATTCATTCAGTTGTACCAAGTGGCGCATTTGTTATTTCAACAGAGATGCAAAATCCGATGAGGCATAGATTATTAACAGATTCTCTGCAATAAATATGCATAGCCATGTGCGCTGTATAAATACTTTATACATGTTTATTTTAACAAAGAAAAACTTTGCTTACCAGACAAAACACCAAGTAATGCATATTAAATTCTAGACGAATCTACTACATTCTCTGTGTTTAGTATCAAAGCTTCATCCGGCCCCACACTCAACATATGGCTTATAGTGTCAGCTAAAAAACAACCACAGACTCGCGGGGGAAATGTCAGAATATCGCAGGGATGCAGGGCTCTGCAGGGATACGATTCTCAGGATCCGTCTGCTCTTAGACTCCGACAGATACCAAAAAGTGCACCAGAACCTAACTTCTGAGCTTCTTCAAAAAGGAAGCAAAGTCTGGGCAGCCCATGAAGCAGCACCTAGAGGCCTCACCTGTGCTGTTCCTGTTGCCATGGATGGCCTTTCCTTACATTACTCACCTGGTAAATAATGGCTCAAACTTTACAGTCCAGTTCATGTACCACCCATTCGGTGAAACCTTTCCTACGCCTCAGTTCTCCACAGAAAGAGTGAAACCCACCCTCCCATGAGCCATCTTTATGATTGTACTCATCAACTACTATGCTCCCATTAAACAGCCGAGAAAATTGAGGTTCAGAGAAGTGAGCAGCCCAGGGTCACACAGCTGGACCACCGCTCCTTCTACAAGCCCATGGTACCTCTCTACATTGGTTATTCATACTGGTACGCATCACTGGGTAACCACTCAACACTCTTCCTTCGCTTCTGTATGATCCCACTGCTAGGAATATATCCCAAGAAACCAGAAACACCAATCAGAAAGGATATATGCATCCCTATGTTCATAGCAGCACAATTTATCATAGCTAAGATTTGGAAACAACCTAAGTGCCCATCAACGGATGAATGGATTAGAAAACTG